TGATGGGTTTGTGAAGTTTGGTGTGATTTGTAAGTGGTTTGGATGTGGTTTTGGTGATAGTGTGCGGAAGATTGTGACAAAAGCGTTATACGTTTTTGTTGGCAACTCGGCAAAGAAAATTTGGCAACATTTTGAAACCATTGTTAAAAATTTTAATTTAGTTTAAAATAATTGTATCCAAAGTATTGTTAAAAGTAATGTTTTATTCAATACAAGAGTTATAGTGAGAGATAGAAGTTTGTGATACAGTATAAAGTTTATACATTAAGCGCTATTGTATTGATTTTAGGTATTAATTTCTCAACACTTAATGAAAATTTTTACGTTAAAAATTTGATATAATTTACAAATAATAGTAAATTTAGCGGTAAATCCCGATCGGTATATGACTTCCAGTCCATTGGAAAGCCTACTATAGCTGTAAATGCAGTAAAACTTTTAGCACTAAAAAGTTGAGGCAATTTCAACGTTAAAACTTTGCCTATCATTACCACATAAACCACATGTTATTTCACATTCACTCAAACCTTATGCGAAGGTTTGGTACTATTTTAAACACATATCTAACACATCTATACTTACCATAGCATACGTATAAAAAGGCCCAAAACGTGACCATTAATTACGGCTTTCATAACACAAAACATTTGTCGACTTTTATTATTACTGTTATTTGAAATCCAAAACACAATTCAATTGAATCGGCGTTTCGTTGACTCAGACCAACACATCTGGTCGTCGACCGCAACATATCATCACATCATTAGTGCCAATACATCCCATACTAAGTCACACCACAACTACTTCTTGGGATCAACTGTCGACCCAATAGCGACACAATCTAGCGATCAAAACAACAACCATTACAAGACAGACACATGGCTTACGCAATGCCCGGACAGTCATCGTCGGCGCCATCGCTGCCGAAGAATGTCTTCACCACCTCTTCGGCTGTTAAAAATTTGATATAATTTACAAATAATAGTAAATTTAGCGGTAAATCCCGATCGGTATATGACTTCCAGTCCATTGGAAAGCCTACTATAGCTGTAAATGCAGTAAAACTTTTAGCACTAAAAAAGTTGAGGCAATTTCAACGTTAAAACTTTGCCTCTCATTACCGCATATAAACCACATGTTATTTCACATTCACTCAAACTTTATGCGAAGGTTTGGTACTATTCTATACACATATCTAACACACCTATACTTATCATAGCTTACATATAAAAGAGCCCAAAACGCGACCATTAATTACGGCTTTCATAACACAAAACATTTGTCGACTTTTATTATTACTGTTATTTGAAATCCAAAACACAATTCAATTGAATCGGCGTTTCGTTGACTCAGAGACCAACACATCTGGTCGTCGACCGCAACATATCATCACATCATTAGTGCCAATACTAAGTCACACCACAACTACTTCTTGGGATCAACTGTCGATCCAATAGCGACACAATCTAGCGATCAAAACAACAACCATTACAAGACAGACACATGGCTTACGCAATGCCCGGACAGTCATCGTCGGCGCCATCGCTGCCGAAGAATGTCTTCACCACCTCTTCGGCTGCGAAGACTGCGGTCAGGTCTTCGGCCCGAAAGCGATTGGAATACTTTGACAACGATATGAATGTCCAGCGATTTGTGGGCATATTTTCAGCTCATTATTGTTGGCCACAAGACAGCGAAGACAACGGCAAGTGTTGGTCGGCGGCGATGACCGACTCGTACGAGTGGTTCCGCGACCGTCTCTGGCCTCAAGTGGTGGACAAAGTGCCGCTCATTACCGCCGATGACAGCGCTCGCCATCAGATCACTGAACTGTTGTTCGCTTTTGTGTTGAAAGAGACGGATCTGTTGACAGACGCCGAAGCGCTGTACTACGAGTCGGTGTTGGATCTGTTCAACGACGAGATCTCGTTCGGTGTCATGTTTTGGCTGAAGATGTGCTCGCATTTCAATTGGCGCCGCCATTACGTCAAACTCGTGGCCCGACATCAACGCTGTCGACAACTGTTGGACGTGTTGTGCCGGGAGTTGACGGCCCACGAGTCGGCCCACTGTTTGACCGCCGATGAGCTCCAGTACTTCTATTCGGTTGTGGACAGCGTTTGCGTTCAAATCATTGCTAGTAATGTAGTGAACGGAAAGTCAAGCGAAAATCGCTATTTCATTGATCTCCAGAAGACTGTCGAGCAAAATGTGGTCAATCGGAAGGATTACAAGCCATTGATGAGACAATTGCCGACATTTATTGTCTTAACCGAAGAGTTGATTGGCTTTGCGTTTACACTAATCCCGAGTGACGGCCAGACATGCGGTGAACTGTCTCTCAAAATGGTATTGAAAACATTGAAACAATTATCTATTAAATGACATTTAATTGCATTTATTTAACTCTTTGTCTTAATTTCTATTACAGTTGACAGAAATGGATGATCTGTTCGGCCATAGGTTTAAGGCCACAGACGTCAGCGATGATTATAAGTACCACTCATTGCCCGAAGACCTCATCGACGCGAGGAGTGTCCAGAAATCACTTGATTTGGTGAACAAACAGTTGAACGAATCAAATGTTGAGTTAAAATCGCTGAAGAAGTTCTTCAGATTGATTGACAAAACGCTTGAAACTCTTCCCTCCAATCGGTTCCCCTATTTCTCGGATATCTTAAGAGACGATTTGCACAAAAACCACCGAAAACTTATGGATCTGTTGCTGAGTTTTGGCGATTATAATGAGTTTAAAGAACTCATTGAATCGGTTGCAGCCGAGGATGTGGTCAGATATGAGTGCACAGTATCGGTGGCCAAACGCTTGATTAGCTGCTCAAAGAACCCGATGGCGAGTGATTTCTATCGGTCTCTGCTCTATAAGACACTGGAAGTGTGTCCTCATATCGATCTGAAGCGTCGGATCGACGCGTTTGGTCTCAAACCGATCGGCGAATGCAATTCGGCCGCCATTAAGACACTGTTCAACCGATTGATTGAAACGGACACCGATGTGATCAACCAATTGGTCCGCGAGATAATGATTGGTTTGTAAAACAGTTTTGTCTTTGAAATTAATGTAAATAATTGAATGTATTTTAATTCTTAGGCGCGTATTTCGATGGCCTCCAGACGTTGGATCAGCTGTTGAATTACCGTGAGCTCGTGTCATTCCAAGTGTTCTGTAAGCACCGGGCGCAAGACCAGTTGCTTAACTTAGGCACCAGTTGCCGGCTTCGCTGGCCTTTTGGTTAAGATATGCGAAACTAAGAAGTGGCCATTAGGAATAAGACATCGCTTCAGACCATCGATGATATGACAAAACTAATCGCGTTAATCATCGACGTGTCCGTCAACGAGAAAATGTCGCCCATTGTGTCGTTGGATCAGCTCTTTTTGTACGTTATAAGCGATAAGAATGTGACCACCGATGACGGCGTTTACGCAAAGTTTTTGTTCATCAAGAGTTTGGCTGAGTTAAGACCGGACGACAAGTGGCCGGCCATGCAATCAGATCCCGTGCCAGTGATTGGTGAGTGAGAAAGTGGTGTTGAAAAGCATTTTATTTCTTGGGATCTACTGTTTAGTGATCGCAAAAATATACTGATCTTTAAACCCATTTTTATTAACTTTAAAAACTTGTTAAATGTGTACTAATTTTGTTCTTTACTTATAGTGTATTTAATGCAATACATGGACTCGTATTGGCGTCAACCGCACCGCAAACAACTAGTCATCGAACTCTTGGATCTATTTCTCGCGAAGAAGTTCGCGAACCCATTGACGGACGAAGAGTTCGGTTATTTGGAGGCAATGATGAGCCAAACGTTCAACCGATACGACCACCAGAAGGCGTCCACTTATAAGATATATATGGTTTACTGCGAGCGTCTGTTCCCGAAGCCGATCGCGGATGTGATAAACATATCGGAAAACATATTCCACGACCAGATCCTGCACTA